ATAAATAAGGATTGGAGATATGGTTCAGGTAATAAATGATTTAATTCTAATTTATTGTTTAGGAGAAACTGTGAGTGTTATTTGAACTAAATCAAAAACTAAGCTGTAGCTTATTATAGCTGAATCGGCAATGAAGCTACAATTTCTTAACAGCTTGAATTGAGAATTCAATAGTGCTTAAAAAGTCTAATATTTTCTAAAATGTACATACAGTTACCTTCAATTCAATATGATAAAAGAAGAATAAGTATATATATCTACCTACTTAGGAAACATTTTCACATTATTTTCCTTCTTCTTTCAACTAGTTGTTAGTACTCAACTGAGAGTTTTGGGGTTTAGAATTAAATGACAAGTGGTGCACAAACAACTGGCTACAAGAAAAATGGTTCAATGACATTTCAATCTTAACAACAAATTTGTTTCACCGACAATGTGAACCTATTGTCAATGAGCCAAATGTTATTGAGTAATTTGTTGTGGGAAACATTTTTGGTTAGCTAAGTGTCAATAAAGCATACTTCAGGAACAAAAAGATATATGTAATTCAAAGATATTTTTAAAAAGGTGTCTTTTAACTTTGATATATGTCATAAATAATCTTAAAAATAATTACAGACTTTCCTTCCAAATTAGAATATTATTTTATAGATGATATGTCCTATGCTGATCCAATTAATGTTTAAATAATTAAACTATAATGATTGGTTTTCATGGTTGATTCAAGCAATACATTTCAATCATGAATGAAATTTGCAAACAAAAATTCTTGAATTTATCCTAGCACATTGTTTTGTTTTGTTTTTAGTCTCAGTATTTTATTAAGTTATGATTTTAATGGAAATAATCACTCCACAAAAATATATAAAGCTTTCATTGGCATGCATCTCCACTAGCTTCTTGGCTACATTTATGGAATTTATAAACTGTAGTTTTCCTCTGTGGGGATGGGGGGGGGGGGGGGATAAACTCTCAAAACCCTTTTTTTCCCCTTGAAGATGGGGGTTTTAAACTTAGAACCCACTTTAAGGAGTTGTAAATTATTTTCATTTTTATTTCTTCTATAGCATAAATTTCAAGAAAAGACAGTCATAACAAAGAGAATAAATTCATTTTATTTTTTTTTATTTACTGCAATTTGTTTTGTAAGGCACTGACTCTGACATACTAAACTTGAGCATATGTATATATATATAAAATATGTTAATTGCCTAATTCACCTTTGCATTATAAATCAAAGATTTAATAAAAATTTATTTGATGGTTAGTATAGATTATGGCACCAAATAATAAGTGCAGGATAAAGCTTAGGTATTATAACATACCTTTTAAATAAACATGTTTTATTGTAATATTTGAAATGAAGAACCAGCTGTCATGACCTAACCTAACCTATAGATGCATTTTTCAGTTCTAGATTTGTTACCAACTCATTTTATTCACCTGTGCTATGAAAGCATATAATATTTGCAAAGCAATTTCAAGCAACTTGTATATATATTTTATTTTACTATCTTCAATGACATAGAATGGAGCCTATTCGTAAAAATTCACAGGAAGCAAATGGTGTCTGGTAGATCTTAAGCTGATGTAAGCTCTGTTTATTTTTTGTATTACCCTTATTATTGTAGTAACAAATAATTTTAAGTGATGTAAGTTATGTCCAAATGTATAATAACGATATGACATATATATTATTTTATTTCTCTTCGAGTAATATTTTATCATAATAATTTCATAAGTGATCTTCATTTTGAATTGAGAAACTAAGTATATATTACAAAACTAGATTCCTATGTTACTGTAAAAAAGTGAGCTAGAGTTATTTTATATGTTTTGTTTTATATATAAATTTATATGTTTTGTTAATTATTTATGATATTATATTTTATTATATTTCTGCAAACAACTTACCATATATAACTTTGTTTTTTTATTTAAATAAGTTAGGACCATGCTAAATTATGGATACTCCAGATCGAAGTCATATTTTTTGGTTAAGTGTCAAGGAAATAAGACTTCAAGTTTTCAGGGTGTAAATTTTAATTCTAATAACACAAAAATAAACACACCTAGGTTTCATCTATGCTCTATATTCTGAGTGTGTTTGTGTTTTCCTTTAAAAAAAATACAATAAATAAAATCAACAAAACATTGCTTGAAAAAATGTATGCCTGATATATTTATGGTATTTCATGGTATTTTAGTTTCTAGGGAGAAATAAAAAAAACAACAAAGCAAACAAAATGAATGTAGGTCAAAAAGAAGTAGATTAAAATGTTGAGCAAGGTATTAAAAATATCAAAAGTAATGCAGTGAAAATAAATTGATAATTTTTTAAGACAAATAGAGGAGGATAATTTACATAATAATTACATAATAAACCCCTAAGAATTTTTTTTTATTTTTGGTGTGCAAAAGTATACATAACAAGCATGAATCTATTGAAGTGTTGCTAATGTCTAATTGTTGAAGAGTATATTTTATATGTTCTCATGTTCTCAAAGTATAATTCTATTCTAAACATTGTAAGATATTAGAGATCTAAATAAAAATTCTATAATATACCTGACAAGCATTGTAAAGTATCTGATGTTCATACTTCTTGACATTTAAAATGTTCTGAAACATTTCATAGAGTTGTTCTTTACTTAGAATTAATTCTGAAGCTGCTGTGGATATTCTTTGAGGTTGTTTTCTAGGATCTTCATCACCGCGGTAAATTGCATCATATTTAGCCATCCAGGAGCTAAGGACTGTTTCTTTGCTTAATCCATCAATTTCTGGTAAACTTCTTACTCTTTTCTCTATGTTGTTTTTAAACACTTCTCTAAAATCATTAGCAGAACATCCTCCACTTCGTACCATGTTTGCAACTCTATCACTTTTTAAAAAAACTTCATAATAGCTTTGAACAGCATTTGTAAATGCTTCATCTGCTACAATTTGTGTTTCTCCATTTAGGAAAGCATGAAAACGTTCTTTAATTGTTTGCAACTGAGCTTTTGTTACCTTAGTTTGTCTCCTTGCCATATCAGTTGGTTGTTTTGCATTGAATGGATAAGCAATACAGCGCATCACAAAAACATATAACTGTAACCTCCTTTTTCTTTCTTCTTCTTCTCTTTCACTTTTATCGAAATCCTCTATTTTATCTCTGTCACTTACTAATGATGGACTGGGACTAGAGGGTCTAATGCTATTTGAACGAGAATGTCCACCAACAACACTCAGATTATCTCCGCTAGCAGACAAACTTCTCTGTTCAGCGCTAGGCAAACTGAGAACATCTGAGTTATTTTCATCCCCATCTTCAACAGCGCCATTATCAGATTCCTCTTCACTTGAAGAGGGGTCAAGCATTATCGTGGTTTAACAAATGAATATGCTATTGCTTTACATTTAGATATCTAGATCTAGACCTGTAGAGTTTAATCTAGCTAGTGAACAAATTGTTTATCATTCTAACAAATAGCGGACATTGATATGTGATATTATTGGCTTCCGCGCATGCGCTTTAGTAATGATTAATTACGGAAGCTTTGACATGACCAAAATAAAATACTTTTATTATTTATATTTTAAAAATTAGATTAGAGTATTTTACTTAAATTCCACGAATTCAATCTAAATTATTAAAAAATATATTTATTGAGAAATAGATTCTATAATCACGCGAGAAAAACCGTGCTAACCGTCTATGAAGACCCCTTTCAATATGTTCAATATTATGGCCGCCATAATGGATAGACATCAAAATCATAAACTAATTTATTATCTTTTTTCTTTGCTTTGAACAGTAATATATAACGAAATATTGATGTTATAGTATTACATTTTTTAGGAATACATTACATTATCTTTGGATTTTTATATTATCGAAGTCATTTTGATGTGCAAAGTAGTTTAAACTGTGTAAACAAACCGACTGAGGTTTGAGCGTTTGTTTTGTTTACGTCGGTTGTTTGGATTACTTTCATATTTCTCATTTCCAACTGACAATTTTAATATGCTTATAGAAGATCCTCTTCTTTTTAGGATGGTTGTTATTATATTGATGCTATAAGTGAGTATTTTTTTTTCTTTTAGCGTTAAATTTGTTAGTAAAAAGTGAAGTGTTTTTAACTTTTATTTGATATTTCAATATTTGAAATAAAAAAATACGCTTTTTTTTGGCTCTACTCTACTCTAGGCGAGCTGAGTCTAGCTGAGCTAGCTCTAGAGTCTAGCTAGACTCTAGCCTTAGCTCTAGGGGCTAGATAGTAGAGTCTAGACTGTCTAGTCTAGAGTATATGATAGTCATAGACATAGATTATCATTAGATCTAGATCTAAGTATAGAGTTACGAGTATAAGTTAAAAGTAAGTCATGATTAGGGCAATTACTTGAATTAGTAGGGATGTGAAATAATTAAAATACTTTGAAAGAACTTTCCAATGGTGTATAAAGTATGAATGTAAGTAGGTACTTTGATAAAAATTTCAGACTCAATGTCAATATATTGTAATGAAACTAATATAGTTAGTTAGAGCTTTTGGAACCGAGTTTATTGATACCTCATTTATGTTTCTAAGTAGATTAGAACAAAAGTTATAGCAATTTTAGTGGCGAAAATTTTGCCTATATTATTTTTTTAAAATTGTGACCGAAAAAGGAAAATTTCACATTAAAATGCTGCAACTTATTTACTATTTGAGTTATTTGCATGTAATTTTCACCAGAAATACATGATTATGTCCTGATATTTATTTTAATTTCAAACAAGTGGTAGACTGTGACATAATGTTTTTAAAGTGAGGTTACTTGTAAAAAAAGAAACGATCGACAAGAAGTACTTTTTCACATTTAGAAGACTCTAACTTTTAAACCTTATGAGATAATTGAATACAATTTTAAACAGAAATGCTTCATTATCTGTTGATACTTATTTTACTTTTAAATTATAGATAGAAGTCCAAGAAAATATTTTACACTTCATGATGTGACACATGTAAAAAAAAAAATGACAGAAAAAGTACTTTTTTTTCCGTTAATAGGCAGTATTTTTTTAACTTTCAGAGCTATATAAATAAAATTTTCAACACAAATGCATGAAATTAATTGTGTTGTTCCTTTTATTATTTTGAAACCTGAGATTGAAGTTAACACAAAACTTTTTTTTGTTATAGATCTGTGGCGACAGTAAGTAAATGTAAAATAATTTTCCAATATGAATTTTTTTGCTTGCGCCCAATGATGGTGTCAGAATATGTAAAAGTATTTATAACATCCCTGTCTGTTGCTGTCACATTAGTGTGTATGACAATCATGTCACACCACAGCCTCCTTTTGCCCATGGCCAATGATGTTCTCTGTGGAGAAAAAAAAATAAAGCTCTTACTACTCTTAGTCATGATTGAAGCTCTATTTAACACCATATCAACATAAAGAACTTTAATTTTAAAAGAATATTTTTAGGTCTTGATCCTGTATAAAAATCTATGTTGTCTCTGTATAAGTATCTAGCCAAGAAATCTTATCTAGAATTTACTTATTTAGATTTGATTGATCAGTGATCTCTCATTGATTTGATCTAACTCTAGATCTAGAATCTAGTAATGAATACTATTGACTTTTTATTTGTCTACTCATCTAGATTTGTCTATAATCACTATATTTACTTAGTATTATATATTAAAAGTCAAATAATGTAATTGAAATTCATAGATCTAGATAGATTGTGGAAAACAATTACGATAATGCAACTAGATCAAGATTTATAATTATTTTTTAATTATCGGCCATTATCGCGACAAATATTATTTTTATTTTTTTTAAAAATCCTTTCAAAACTTAAATAGTGATTAAATATTATTATAAAGATATTATTTATCAAGTTTTAAATCATCGATGATCAAAGAAAATGAAGGATTATGATGGATTTCAAAAGGGAATGTGAAATACAAAAAGGATGCAGCCATTGATAAATATAGGATCTATCACTTCCTGTCTAGTTATGGCGCCGGTTTCACTTAAAAAAATTAGACCTAGCCCAGTCTGTTGGCATTTGCCACTAAAGAGGGGCACTTATTGCAATAAACTTTATTAAACTAATTAGATTTCATATTAAACTAACCCTAATAACTAAATTTAAATGTAGAATAAGCTTAATAAAAAAGAATTTGGTGGTCAACTTACCAGTATGCTCAACACGATGGATATCCATGAAAACAATAGAATAGTGGCGATGTAGATCTAAAGAATAAATGAATATCCTGTCCTTGCGCGATACAAAAGCTTTGATTATCCTTTTGAGCATGGATTTTGAAAACAATATCAGAATGGAACACAATGCCCATTGCCCTTATATACTGACGCCGGTAGACCAAAAAAATCTAGCACAACCGGAAAATCAAAGTACCTAATGTAAGTTAAACAGTTTGTTTTTTTTTGTGGCGTTTTGTTGACCTAACATTGGTTGACATGGAACAATGAAGATGAAAGCGTCTAGCGGGCTCTCTGCCCATTAGACACCCCCCCGCTCAAAATGTTAAAAAGTTGGAATTGAGTTGCATACACGATAGATCTACTTATTACGTAAGAAATTTAATAGTAGATCTAGTATTCGTAGTAAATTTCTAGCTCACAAATCTGATTTCATTTATATTTATGAACTTCACTTGTTTAGAATGTAAATATTGTTTAATAAACAATTATCGGGTCTAGAGTTACAAGAACAGGGTTTCCGCTGCCTCCTGATTTTTATAGGAGCTCCTGGAAATCTCCTGAAATTGCACAAAATATATGAAAAAGTCCTGGAAATCTCCTGAAATTGCAAAATATATGAAAAAGTCCTGGAAATCTCCTGAAAAGTCATAAAAATCTCCTGAAAAATAGACAAAATTGTCTGTTTGGGTGTCATTCAATATGAAAATTGCCAATCCTATGGGCGATTAAGAAAAAAAAAATGGCATTGTCGGCTTTCATTTAATAAAAATGTAATAATATGGCGAATTCAAACCTAAAAATGAAGTTCTAATACTTTGTTTACTTTAATAGTCACTGGCATATATAGACGTAGATCCAAGTACCGGTATTCTAAGTCTATCTCGATCTCCTTAAAAAAAATCAAAAGTGATTTAAAAAAAAAACAAATCTAGAACTACATAGATTTGATAGATCTAGATTAGAATTAAAATGAAAATGCTAGATCTAAACCTAGAAAGACTTGTGTTAAAATTAAGACTAGACCGTAAATCTAAATTAGATCTAGAGTAGATTAGTAGTAGTAACTTAATTAAATTAAGACTTAAGTTGACTTAAGTCTTAAGTAAGTAGATCTAGCCTGGCCTAGAAATGACTAGATCTAGAATAGATCTATTACAATATGTATATTATAAAATGATGTAGATCTTTTCTATATCTAGTCTACTAGATCTACTTAAATCTATTATGTCACTATGATCAGTATGATCTAGATCTAGACCTAGTCAATCTAGATCTAGTTATCTTGTAGCAGTAGTAACTTTTAGTACTAGTAGATCTCTAGTCAGATCTAGATATTATTATTAATGATAGAGATAGATAGATCTAGATTAATTCTAGATAGAAACAGATGTAGTGATGTAGCCAATATACTGAATATACTATAGGGCCTACTATTCTACTTTACTGTCTTTAGTTTAGGGTGGAGGCCTTAGAGTATATATGATATATGGTATAGATTATATTTCTAGAATTCTAGATCAAATAGAGATCTACTTAGATTCTGGAATCTCTCTCTTACTTTTAGTTTTATAATCTAGATTGTGAAATAGATGGGGCTTAGAGTATAGTGTAATATGGTCTATATAGTATAAGCTGCTATAATATGAAATTAAACTATTCATGGTTTTACTTTCAAATTCACATCTAGCTTTATGATTCAGAGCTAGATTTTAAAATTTTATAGATTTAAAGACAGCTATTGTTTATAAAAACAATCAATGAAAGAGATTTCCACTGAAATAGGTAACTGATATTGATAATGTTTTATACATTGCAATTTGTTTTTAGAGATTTTAATTAATTCCTAATGTTGACTAATAAAAGCAATATATATAAAGAGAGTAGTGCAAATAGACTTATTGGTTTACAAGTACTTTTTTACTCTTTAATCAATTACTTTTGAATTTGCTAATTTAAAAAGGAAAAAAAACATTTTTATACATGTATGGTAATTCAATATTTATTACTAAATATAGATATAGTTCGAATGATCTAGGCTAGACTAAGCTGATCTAGAGTATTCTAGAGTAGATCTAATCTAGGACTAGATTAAGATCTAGATTAGGTAGTTTCACCAAAAAATGTAAATTGATCCTATACTCCTATACCAACAAATGTGTAATCGAATGAAAGAGGATGAATAATGCTTTCCAACATCACCAGATTTATTATGCATTATTCGTTCAAAAGTTATTATGATTTTAAGTTTGTCTGAAGCGTCCTGAAATCCTATGGACTATATACTTGTCACGAATCATCAATAGTGCTAATGTCACGTTGAAGATTATCTTGATCTATAGCGCACTATCAATGATCGTGGTTGCCGATGATTCAGAAATCGTCAGTTGATAAGATGATCATCTAGAAGTTGCTAGTTGATATGAGGATCATCTAGAAGTTACTAGTTGACAAGACGATCTAAGTATACAATTATATATTCAATGAAGAAACTTCTCTTCGTCTAAAACAAATACTTTAATTCAAAACTAGGAAAAGCTATTCACAAATAATTACAATGGTTAAATGTACTTGAATAGAATAGATGATCTACACAATTTTTAATATAATTATGTTTTCTTTTTTGAGTTCTAACACTAAACTCTAGTACATGTTATATCTAAAACGTTTCGCACAAGACTGGCGGTAATATCTTTTAGTTTACAAAGCTTGGGCATTACCACATGACCAACATCTCTCCGCTGCATGGCCAACCAATAAATGCAGCTCAAAGTACAATAATTAATACCACCAATCAATAACATTCATCCCAAAACATAATTCTGCTGCGTGATGTATAATTCCCGAGGTGGGTGAAGTTCTGGTAACCTTGGCTAAATATAGATACCGTGTACGTGACAATACTAGATCTATAGTAAGCTCTTATATTTGGGACACCCCATCTAATTCTCCTTCGCTGAACGTATCACTGTTTTTGTTTGTAATTCATTTTTTATTATGATTGGAGAAAAATTTTTATGTTTCTGGACTGTGCATGTCCAATTTTAGATAAGTTTTTGTTCTGTTTTTCCAAAGCAGATATCAGGTTTTTAGATTCTTGGTAACCAAGTATGTAAACCTATTGTTTTAACCTCCCCTGGCACACAGCCTTATAAGGGATGAGGGCTATATTATGAGCCTGTTTGATCGTAGGCTGATGGGCATATGAAAATAAGCTTCCACTCATGATGACTCATCTTTAGAAAGACATTCCAATCACATTTATACTGTTAGCTGTTAAAGAAAATTTCAAAAGTATGTGTCTAAACGAATAATAATGAATTTAATTCATTGTCCTTTCTTAGACACAGCAAAATCGCAAATAAGAAATATTATTGAGATTAATAAATCTATGATTTGTTCAATAAATAAACATGACCTAGAACATATAATTTATGAATGAAATAAAAAGTGGGGGCTGCTAATTTAAAGCCAGAGACCATGCCTACTGCAGGTCATCACGCCAGTTGAGCTGGCGGAGAGGAGAGTGAGGTATACACTATAAACAACAAGAATTAAATGCGAATTAAAAGAGGAGAATACATGTAGTTGAAAATGTCATGTGTCTAAATAATTTTTAATTAACACATAATTTATTAGCAATTACATAGTGGTGTTCAGCGACAGTGCTCAGTGTCCAATGAAGGGGAAAGCACAAAAACTGCGTTCAGCATAGGAGAATGAAATGACCTAATTTATTTTAAAATAAAATTTTGACTAGAGTAGTAATATATAGGAACACATATATTTTTATTGTCCTTTAGTTGAAGAATAACAATCTGCTTTCAGTGGGTTTTTTTTTTTCGTAATTTAAACCTTCACCAAATAAA